GGGTTGGTAGCAACTCTTACTTACTACACTAAAAGTGTTCCTATAAATTCTCTTATTATTAACTTTTACAATCTCTTAATTTGTGGTCAAATATTCTCTACATCATTCCTATATGTTGCATTCCCACCCCCATCAGAATTATCAGAGATCTTTAAAGAAACAAACAAGTTTTCATTTGAATGATTAAGTCTAACACTTCTTGGCTTCTTTATACCATTAGTCCTTTCTATTTTCTTTAACGGAAGTAGAACTTGTACACCATCAAGTATGTGAAGTATACTATCCACTTTTCTCTTTATTCTCCTCTGCTTTCTTTTGGTGATGTTTTATTATTATTTATTTTCACACATAAACTCAAGAATATACACTTTCCTCTGAGTACTACTTTGGCCAAACATTATAGGTATGAAATGTTTCTACTATAATTAATTTCTATGTAAAAGAAAGAAAAAAGGCAACTCACATACTGAATAAACAGCAAAATGCACAGGTTCATGAGTTAGGCAGATGCAAATTCTACGCAACACCTAAACAAAAACTCATATATCTAAAACATTCAAGAGTGATACTATGCCGAGTCAGGCAGGCTTGCGGCAGAATGTGCTCCGTTCAGGAAGACTGAGTTGGCTCCACCAACTAAACCAAGACATGCACTGACCAGCTAATTCTACTCTCTCAGATTCTTTTGAAGAAATACTCTGATAAGAATATGTGGGGCCGGGGCTGTAACTCAGTGGTAGAGTGCTTGCCTGGCATGTGTGTGAGGCACAGGGTTCTGTCCTCAGCACTGCATATAAAGAAAGATATATATGTATAAAGCTACATATACAGAATATCCACAGCAACATAGTTTACAACAGGGAAATAGTGGAGATAGCTTAAGTAAACATTTACCAACTGAAGAATAAAAAAAGAAAAAATGAGTTATGGGATATTTAGTGGCTATTAAGAATAAGATAGATTTTAAGAACCAAGACAAAATTGTATCCACGGACAAAGGAAATATAAAAAACAAATCCACAAAATAACTTGTGAAATAGGATCCCATTTTAGATTAAATACAAACAAAATAACCTCTCACAGTCGCTTCTGTATAAAGACAGCACATGGCCCCGAAGCACACACTACAGACTGGCCACCGCTGGCAACTCTGTGGACAGAGGTGAGAAGGCCTTTGCCATTTTATTTTTATTCACTTCTGTATTGTTCAAAATATTTTATTTCCTTCTCAGTGAGTGCATACTAATGTGATTTTAAAATGTAATTTAAAAAAAAAATCCTCCCACTTGACCCTCACTTCTATTTTCTTGAATATACTGAGGGGCTAGAAGCTCCGGTGGTCTCCATAACACAGCCTTTGGAAAGCTCACCAATTAGTTCATAAAAGCTGCATGAGACAATGACCTTAGTGGAAAAACAAAGTGATTAGCATGACTGCCTCCCCTTTACCAACCCTGGCGGGTGCTCCTCCCATCCAAGCTACTCCTGCCAAGTTGATGAGACAGGAGGTGCTTCTGAGACACTGGCAAGCCCATTTTCATATGTAATGTTTCTACCCCTTCTTCTGAAAGCCCCCTGGTGACCCACACAGCCAGCCCAGAGGGGTGCGCCTCATCCTACATTTCAATTCCATCTGCTTCCCGGCGCGGCCTGCTCAAGCAGCCCAGGGCCGGAGCTGGAGGCAGCTGAGGCAAAGGAGGAACCCATGGCAGGCAGCAAGCCCTCCTCCTCTTCCACTGTTCCCTCCCTCACCTGGAGAATTCCTGAACTGGGGACAGAAAATCCCCACCAGGACGTCTGACAGCCATGGGAAGCTGTCTAACTTCCCCTTCTTTCCTTCCAAGTGTTGAGCTAGCTATTTGCTGGGTGTCCTGGTGAAGCCTGTGAAAGACAGAAAGATTTGGAATCTTCTTCCCCAAAGATGCTGAAGAATTTTCCCTCACGGAGAACCATTTTCAAATTAAATTAAGTGCCTATTCTGTGAGGGTTAATTTCAGTATGATTTGGTTTTAAGTACCTAGAGAAGCCACCAGTACACTACTCCACCCTCTTTGAATGTTTTAGATAAAAACGTGCCAACTTATTTGGATGACTTCATACAGTTAAGATGGCAGCTCCTCAGGCTGGGGTTGTGGCTCAGGGGTAGAGTGCTCACCCAGCATGTGCGAGGCCCTGGGTCCGATTCTCAGCACCATATAAAAATAAAATAAAGATACTGTGTCCAACTACAACTAAAAAATAAATATTAAAAAAGAGATGGCAGCTCATCACAAGCTGTGACACAGATTCCATACAATCCCAATCAAAATCCCAGTAGGACTTTTTGTACAAATCAACAAGTTAATTCTAATTTTGTATGGAGAGACAAAAGATTCAGAATATCTAAAATAATTCTAAAAAAGAATAATGAAACTTCAAAGGCAATTCAATGGAGTGCTGAAATAAGTGAATATATGCAAAAATTATCTTAAAGTGGACCATAGACTTAAATGTAGAACTTCAAGTTAGAAAATTTCTATAAAAAAACATAGGAAAAATATATTGACCTTATCCACTTTTCTAAAAAGATAAATTACAGGGCATGGTGGCAACACCTGTAATCCCAGCTACTCAGGAGGCTAAGGCAGGAGGATCACAAGTTTGAGGCCAGCCTGGACAACTCAGTGGGAGCATACCTCAAAATAAAACAAAATAGGCCAGGAATGCAGTTCAGTGGTAGAGTGTTTATCTAGCATGTTTGAGGCCTTGGGTTCGATCCCACATACTGCAAACTAATAAAAAATGCATAAACAAACTTTTTCAAGTTAAGAATCTCTGCTCTTTAAAGTACATTGTCAAGACAAAGTCACATTAAAAACACATTAAAGAACTTGTGTCCAAAATATATGAAGAACTCAATAAGAAAAGAAACAACCTGATTTTAAAAAATAAACAACATTGGGCTGGGGATGTGGCTCAAGCGGTAGCGCGCTTGCCTGGCATGCGTGCGGCCTGGGTTCGATCCTCAGCACCACATTCAAACAAAGATGTTGTGTCCGCCGAAAACTAAAAAAAAATAAATATTAAAAAATTCTCCCCCCCCTTAAAAAAATAAAAAATAAACAACAGATATTTAATTAAGTGGTAAATAATCCCATTAACAGATTCTCAATTAGATAAATGCAAATTAAACCCATATTCTAAATTTTAGAATGACTAAAAATTTTAAAATCTCATAATATTAAGTGCTAGGGAAGACACATGTCCACTGGAACTCTCATACCACTGCTGACAGAATGTAGAATGGTACAACCACTCTGGAAGATGGTTTGGTGGTTTCTTTCCAAAGTTAATGATATACATATACATATCTATATTTACAATATTTACTAGGATCCAGCAATTTTACTTCTATGCATTTATCCAAGTGAAATGAAAACTTAGGCTTATACAAAAATCTGTGTGCAAATGTTTATAGCAGTTTTATTTGTAACTGTCAAAAGCTCTAAATGACCCAAATGTACCTTAGCTGTGGTACACCTATACAACAGAATAGAAGTCAACAATGAAAAGGAACACATTTCTTTTCTTTTCTTTTAATATTTTATTTACGTTTTCGGCAGACACAACATCTTTGTATGTGGTGCTGAGGATCGAACCCGGGCCGCACCCATGCCAGAATAGCGCGCTACCACTTGAGCCACATCCCCAGCCCCATGAACATATTTCTGATATACGTGACAACATATGTATCTCAAATGAATTATGCTAAGCGAAAGGGTACATACTGACCGAATCCATTTATATAACACTCTGGAAAAGGCAAACCTGTTAGGACAGACATCAGGCAAAGGTTGCCAAGGCTAAGAGAAGCTGACTGTAGAGAGACACAGGGAAATTTTTTTGTGTGATCAAACTGTTCTGTATTTTGATTCTGGAGACAGTTATACAACTCTATTTTTCAAAACTAACAGAACTGTAAACAAAATGAATGAACTTTATGTATCTAAATTATGACCCTTTTTTAAAGCTCCAAATGGAAACCATAAAATACAAAACAAAGATTGCTATGGAAATGACCACAAAATAGTGTCTACATGCCAGAAGAGAAAAATTTTTAAATAAGGCCATTAAAAAGAAGGTCTGCAATGTCACACACATATGCATATCTTCTCTTTGCCATCCAATACCCTTTGAAAGGTCTAGCAGAGGGGATTTCAAAGGAAACCACCTTATCCCCCATTCTGATCAGAACCCTGGGGGGTCTCAGAGCTGAAAGGAGTCATTACTAATACCCACAAAGTACTTAGAACCTGCAAGCCAAGGGGAGCTGGGAAAGACCCCGGGCCTTCCTTCAAAATGCAGTGGGAACTGCACTGCCCCTCTGCTCTGTCCTTGAGAGGACTAGGTTGACAGGAGACTCCAGCCACACTCACCTCTGTCGGGCCTGCACTTACACTGACAGGCTGATGTCAGTCCTGCAGCACTCGCTCCCTCACACAGGAAACTGAATTTTGCAGAGGCAAAGAAAGTAGGCCAAGGCGACAGAGCACTCTAGTTCAGTGGCAGCCAATCACGGGCCCCTCCCTAGGAGCGTCTCGCTCTGAGGTCAGGACTCAAAGGCAGAGTCTGTGCCGTCAGCCTGAACCCAAAGGGACCGACCTGTTGGGCGTGTTTTCCACGCAAGGCCGTGAGGGTTTAGGACTGAGGCTCCAGATCCACCTTTGCTGTGATGCTGGCAGGCCCTCTACTTGCCGATACCACATGGGCGACCTAACCTCCTCTGGCTACATGTGCAGAGGATGACAAATCCAACTGGATGTGGAGTTCAGAGGTGGAAAATGAAAAACTGTGATGCGCCCACCACCCCAGGCTGCCACGAAACCCAAGTGCCCCAACCCAACCAATGACAAAGCGACAGGGTCTTCCCCTTCCACCCAAGATCACAAACTTGTAAAACTCTTTTGGAACTGGGGCTGCCATGGAGGGGTCAGGGCGATGGGGGGCAGGGGGGGTTGTACCTTTTGCTTTTCCGTCCACTGACACCAGCTTCTTTGTCTCTGCTGTTAACAGCAGCTCGTAAGGGTGCTCATCCTCTTCCTGGGCTGCATTCCCCTGAATCCTAGGTCTCGTGGCCAGGACCTGAGAGGGAGAAAGAGCCGATACTCCTTGTACACAAGGCCAATACCAAGACAGGTGGTGTGGGACAAATTTTAGATTATTGCTGCCTTTGCATCGAAGGATCATGGAGAAGAGGAAGAGAAGCTGAATGATTCAAGTGTCGCATGAAACCCTGACTGCTTTTCTGGTTATACACCTACTAGGGCTTGTCCCCCAGAGTCGTGTGCTGGAAGCTTGGTCTCCTGTATGGTGGTAATGGGAGGCGCTGGAGCCTTTAAGAGGTGGAGCAGAATGGGAGGTGTCAGGCTTTGGAGGCCCCACTCACGATGAGGGAATGAATTAATGCTGCTCTCAAGGTTTTGAGTTCTTCTGGGCCTAAATCAGTAGCACAATGTTGTGCTACCAAATTAGTTGTGACAATGTGAGCAGGGCACCTCCCCAAGCTCTTGCTTCTGAAGGCACTGCTCTCTGCTCTTGCAGGTATTCCCACTATGCGATGCATCTGCCGTGTTGTGATACAGCCAAAAGGTCCTAATCAGAAGCTGAACAGGTGGGGCTGCCTGTCTTGGTCTTTTTGCCTCCAAAACTACGAGCTAAATAAACCTCCTTTCTTTATAAAGTACCTAGCCTCGTGTGTTTTGTTACAGCATTACACAACAGACTAGTTTACACGTTACCTCAAATCTCAGTGGACTCTGATTGGAACACTCCCCTTTCCTTATCTCACTTTATCCTTCAAAAAAAAAAAAATGACAAAAGTCAACACCTTTCCTTCCCTTGCCTCTGCATCTCTCAGTGTTCCACATAATCTTTACTGTGCTGCTTCATGAAATCCATCTCTGTCCATCTTTCTTTCCTAATATGTACCATGCTAACCAAAGGCTAGAGTCCTTTCCACTTTCTCATGAGGAAACAAAAGTGACTTCCATGCCTGACATTTACTAAAACAAGTGGTCAGAAAGTCTGTTTTTGTGAGTCTTTCTTCACAGATCCTGGGGACTGTAGGAAAGGATTTCCCTAGACCTGGCTTCCTACGATATTTACAATACAACTTTTTTAGATAACTCCCACCAATCCCTGCTCTGAAGAATCAAGTGGTTAGGAAGTCTGAATTTCCATGAGGTAAAAGCAGCTCTGTATACTGAGAAGGCCCAGATTCAGGCAGTGCGTGTCTCTGATGAAATAACTGGATCAGAGCTGGCTTCTAATTCTACCCCTGCCCACTTGAGGCTTCAGTCAGTTGAGGGCCTGGTAGCCACAGTTAGTCATGATACCAGAGTAGCCAAGCTTCCCTTGAATAAAGCCAGGGAAACCATCACTGGTACTAGTGTGGCAGTGGGAGAGGGAATGGAGACCCTCACTTTAGAGGATAAGTCTACTCATCTGTCCTAAGGTGTCAATGTGCCTCACAGGCAAATTAATAATAATCACACACTAGCTATTAGAATAGCAAACCAAAGCACAAAATCTCTTCCTGAGCAGGGCTAGGGTAAATAATGTATTATGAATAAGGTAGAGATGGGGGATTTCCAATTAAACCTAAAATAATGACACCCCACAAACATGATTCCTTAGCACCCAGGAACCTCTGACCCTGAAGCATCCCACACCCCACTGGAAGTGCACCAGGTTTGTGATTCACCAGGGTTTTGCTTCTTTGAGGCAAACTGCTCACTCTATTACAGCCTAACAAGATGATTAGTATCTCAGATGAAATGAGAAGCTGCTGCTCCTGTTTGTATCGAGGCTGCCACTCTAAAGGCAGAATGATAGTCTTTCTCCAAAATTCTGCTAAGCTCAGCAGGAACCTCCATAAGCCACCTGGAAGCTAAAAGCCATTTCATCACAATGAGCCATTTGCCTGCATTACTTATTCCATGCTTCTTCACAGGAACACAACTAAGGGAACAAAGAGGGACCACGAAGAGCAGTTCACACAGTGTCTACTCAACAGAGCAGGCTTTCCAAGCTGGAGGTAGGCTCTGCAGGTGGACACTCCCACAGCAGAGCCCTGGCAACCTGACTCCCTGTGAGTTCCACACACAGAGCCCCAGGTGGGCTTCCCAGAGAGAAAGCTGACAGCCAGGATGCCTGGCTTGTACCATCTTTTCCTCTCAAACAGAACAAGACCAATGTCTCCAGAGAATGAAGGCTGCTGGACCTGCTTTCATTTTGTGCCTGACTCTTATGCAGGACAACGGAAAGCAAAGACCACAAAGGTCAGAGGTGGAAGGGAGCTAACTGTCACAGTCACAGCCAGAGCACCTGTCCAGCCCTTTTATTTGTAGATGACAAACCTGTCCAAGAGAGGCCCCAGGACTTGCCCAGGGTTACAGAGAGAGCTCACAGCAAGAGCCATGGACATAAAATTCAGTTCCCCTAATTCTGGATCAGACCGGCCTCATTTTCTGTGGCTCTCATTTTTTCTCCATCCAATTTGGAACGCTCTCCTTCCTTCAGCTGTCTAATGAGAGTCCCCTGCTCATACCCAGATAATAAAGGACGGTGTTCTTTTCCTCTTGGTGCGGGCCCTACCAGCCAGGGGATTAAAATCTCACAGTAAAGCAATAAATTGCTTTCTTCGAGCCATCCTAGTTCCCACTAAGAAGCCCGGTGTCCTCGTGAATATGGCAATAACTGATTGTCGACAGAAAGGGTTCTGCTCTTTATTAAATTACTTCTTAATCTTTTTTCCCCTTTTCCTCCAGGGTTGGCAATAAATCAAAGTTGAAAATATATATATTTTCTTCTCTGTGGAAAGCAACACTGCTGCTGCAAAGAGAAGCTACAAGCAGCCACCACCGAACTGTGATCAGTGGAATGTCCATTTGGGGTGTGGGTGGCTTTCTGGAAAGAGATACCATAGCAGCTGCAGCCCCCAGGAAAGCTTAACACATCTGAGCACAGAGCAGGCCACAGTGAGTCCGAACAGCTGGCAGCCCCTTCTGTGGGGCAGAAGCGTCCATCAGGGTGTGCGTGTGCATGTGCTTGAACTCGTCAAAGCGGGTTCTGCAATCAGGCATTGCTGTGCTAACTTCTCCTAGAGCCGGGTGTCCTCCAGCTTCCCTTACAAGCTTCTATGGGTCATCTCATGACGACAATCCTCAGGGATAAGGACACAAAGGTTGGGGCAGATCGCCTGCCAAAGACAAAACCCTTAAGTTGGGTGAAGCCCGTGTCTCTTGATATATGAAATTTAGGGCTTTAAAGCTTTTAGAGTTTAAGATATAAAGTTCTGTTCTGTGAAAAAGATCACGGAGTTAAAAAAAAAAAAAAGAAAGAAAGAAAGAAATCAGTTCACTTTTGGAGAAGATCTATTCATTTGGACCATGGCCTATGTAAAATATTTGCCTAGATCATTAAAAGGAGAATGAGTCAGGCTGCATCACTTATATATTTGTGCACCCATAATTACCAGTAAATAAGCAAATTCAGAGTTCTCATGGTCTTCCAAATGATGATTGTGCTGGTCAAGATTTCAATAATTCAAACAGAATTCTAGGCTATTCAAAAGTACATTCTAAAAGATAAATCTCACACAGATTCTCCCATCCAGGAAAATAATATGGAGATTTCCCCCCTATGCCCTGCCACCTTTTAATACACGTTACATTGGGAAAACAGAAATCCTGGTTACCCCATATTTCTTTAAGAGTCTTGCCCTGTTCTTAGGCATTAGCAATTTCTAATCAGATTCCTGGTTAAAGAGGCAGCACAAAGCATTTATAGAGACCCAGTCCCAACTCAATATGCTCCACACTACTAGCTTTCTCCTTGTTAAAAAAAAAAAGGTGTTGTGGGGGAATAATAAAGCAAGATGCTATTTGCAGAAAAATGTGTAGGGACTTACTGTATGTACTTGTACCAACCAGCAAAGTATCATTACTCAGAGGTAATAAGAGGGTGCAATTCTAGGGACAACTGGTTGGAACATGACAATAAGCATTTTATAAATGAGGGACCAAAAGAAATAAGGAGGGGCTGGTGTCATGGCTCAATGGTAGAGCGCTCACCTAGCATGTGTGAGGTCCTGGGTTTGAACCTCATTACCGCATAAAAATAAATAAATAGAATAAAGATATTGTGTCCATTTACAGCTAAAAAAATAATTAAAAAGAAATGAAAAAATCTGTAGCTATTGTAGAAATCCTTCTATATCTCTAACACAGATTTTTACATTTTTAAAAGGGCTTTCTTAATATAGTGTGTGTGTGTGTGTGTGTGTGTGTGTCTGTCTGTCTGTCTGTCTGTCACTAGGGAATAAACCCAGAAGCACCTTACCACTGAGCTACACCTCCAGCCTTTTAGTTTTTGAGATAGGGACTGGCTAAGTCGCCCAAGCTAGTCTTAAACCTGTGACCCTTCTGTGCCAGCCTAGCGAATCACTGAGATTACAGGAATGTATCACCACACCTGGCTGCTGAATTTATACATTTTCTGAAACTAAAGTCATGCTTTTGGTTCCATGTGTTTATTTTGAATAAAATAACCTATCTTACTGATGGTACATGGCAATGGTGAGAAAATGGTAATTCCAACTTCTAGGAATAAAATGATGAGACTTAGCTGATTTACATTAGTTGATTTTTAAAAAGAATAATAGAATTCTGAATAAGCTATAAAGTAATTTTTAAAAATTATATTACATTTTGAATAAATACTCCACACTTGTATTCTATGAATGATAGGAAGTGTTAAAGGAGCAACTTAAAGAAGAAAGATCAAAGAAAGCACAATTTTCTTCTCACATACAAGGGAAAAAACTCTTAGTTGCCACATGGTAATATTTCTTTTGTAAAAAGGTTGACTTCTTTTCAAATGACCTCCTTTGATTTTCCTGTCTGCCCATTCCACACACCTCCTCTTTCCTAATCCATAGTTCATGACTCAATTCATGTTTGTATTATGTAGAGTCTTTGTATGCTGAGAACAGGAAAATGCAAAAATAGAAATAAAATGAGGCAGAGCCACCAAAGTTTGCAAACATGGCACAGTGTAGACAGTAGTGATTAGGGGACACTCAACATTTTGTATCAAAAGACATGTGGTTCATTCCTTTAATCCCAGCTCTTAGGGACACTGAGGCAGGAGAATCACAAGTTGGAGACCAGCCTGGGCAACTTAGCAAGACCTTTCTCAAAATAAAATTGTAAGGGCTGGGGTTGTGGCTCAGTGGTGGAGCACTTGCCTAGCACGTATGAGGCACTGGGTTCAATCTTCAGCATCACATAAAAATAAACAAATAAAATAAAGGTATTGTGTCCATTTATAACAACAACAAAATATATTAAGAATAAAAAAATAAATAAAATTTTAAGAAAAGGCTGGGGACGTTGCGTGTGGTGGGGGCATGTCTATAATCCCATCGACTTGGGAGGCTGAGGTTGGAGGATTCCAAGTTCCAAGATCAGCTTCAGTAACTTAGCATGGCTCTATGCAACTTAGTGAGATTCTATTTAAAAAAAAAAAATGGTGTGTGGGGGCACCTGGGGATGTGGCTCAGTGGTTAAGTGATGTTCAATCTCTGGTACCACCCCCACCCCACCCCATCCCGCAAAATGAAAGGGGGAGATTGAGGATGCTGTTCAGAAGTAGAACACTCCTGGGTTCAATCCTCCCAAATAAGAAAAATAAAAAGAAGAAAGAAGAAAGAAAAAAAAGACAACACAAGTATACAAGCAGAAGGGAACTGTCCAGCTTACAGGAGTCATGAAAAAAATGTGTACGTTTTACTTTCTACGTGGTATGGTTTATCAACACTTGGCCTGTCTGCTAGAGAGCTACATTAAAATTCTTTCAGTACTTTTAGGTGAGTTTAAAAGGTCATGTTCTAGATTAATGATACACATAATACAAACCTACCAATCAAAGAAGTAATAAGATAATGAGAAAGTGGGCTGGGGTGTACGTAGCTCAGTGTTAGAGCCCTGACCTAGCATGCTTGAGGCCCTGGGTTCACCCCAGAACCACAAAGAGGGGTGGGAGTGGGGGATAAGAGAGCACAGCCATCTTTAAGCACACTCTGATTCACTCTGCCATGAACCCATGTTTCAGTGATGGGAGTAAACCCTCAACCCTCTACCTCAGAAGCTGTCAAGGGAAAATACTTCTTATCTATGCGGTCTTCCTCCTCTTCATCTGGTGGTGGCTTTGCTGGAGGCGGTGGACGTTCTCTCTACAGAAGAGAAAATAAATAATTCCTCTATTGCTTTCTTTAAGTATCCAACTTTCTGATTTACCTTTATTTTAGCTGTTGGAATTGAAAAAGAATAATGTCAAGCACTCCCCCACGAGACGAAAGTTGAGGTTTGGTTTCTGAACAGATGGAGAACCCTGCACACACATACACAATTCAATTAGTAAGCTCTGTGGTTTTTCATGTTTGTAGCAAAGATCATAAACACCTTTTTTGTACCCTAGACCACAGTGACAAGTACCAGCACTGGAAACTCCTAACTAGCTTGATGGGAAATGCCCTACATAAAACTTCAGTAAAGGGAAATCTGTGGCTCAGTTTTCAGTCTACTCTAAAAAGAGGAAACTCTAGATCAAAAGAATCAACTTGTAGGGGCTGGGGTTGTGGCTCAGCAGTAGAGTGCTGGCCTAGCATGGGCGGGGCCTGGGTTCGATCTTCAGCACCACATAAAAATAAAGGTATTGTGTTGTATCCATCTACACCTAAAAAATAAACATTAAAAAAAAATTTAAAAAAAGAATCGGGGACTGGGCTGTAGCTCAGTGGTAAAGTGCTTGCCTCGCATGTGTGAGGCACTGGGTTCGATCCTCAGCACCACATAAAAATAAATAAAGATACTGAATGTTCATCTACAACTAAATAAATATTAAAAAAAAAAAAAAAGAATCAACTTGTAATGGTAGCACAAGCCTGTAATTCCAGCAGCTTGGAAGACTAAGGCAGGAGGGTTGAGAGTTCAAAGCCAGCTTCAGCAAAAGCAAGGCGCTAAGCAACTCAGTGAGACCCTGTCTCTAAGTAAAATACAAAATAGGGCTGGGGATGTGGCTCAGTGGTCGAACGCCTCTGAGTTCAATCCCCTGTAACCAAAAAGAAAAAAAAAAGAATCTACTGGTGAAATGGTCCTAAAACCAAGGTTATGAGGAAGTACTGAGAAAAGTAATCGAGGATAAAACATCAACTCCTATTCAAACTTCAATGTGATAATATTGGTCTATTGCCACTCACTAAAAAAAGTTCTAAACCAATCTTTGAGCCGGGTACAGAGACACATGCCTGGAGCCCCAACTTCCTGTGAGACTGAGGCAAGAGGATCACTTGAGCCCAGGAGCTTGATACCAGCCTGGCTGACACAGTGAGATCCCATATCGAAACAAAACAAACAAAAATCACTGATCTTTAGTCACCTCCTTCATTAATGAATAGTCCATATCATCATTGCATAAAGACTATGTGACCTAAGCTCATTTTAAAAAGGACTACTTGTCAGTTGTCAGCCCTAAAGCAAGCTTGCCCCTCCCTCCCTCCCTTCCTTCCTTCCTTCCTTCTTTCCTTTCCTTTCCTTTCCTTTCCTTCCCTTCCTTCCCTTCCTTCCTCCCTCCCTCCCTCTCTCCCACCAGGGATTGAACCCAGAGGCACTCTAAGCCACATCCCCAGCCCTTTTTCATAATTTATTTTTAGACAGGATCTCAATGAGTAGCCTAGGGCCTCACCAAATAGCTGAGGCTGGCTTTGAACTCACAATCCTGCGGCAGCCTCCTGAGCCACTGAGATTACAGGCATGTGCCACCATGCCCTGAGGCAAGCTTTTCCTTACAGGGTCATATAACAGACTTGTAGTACATAAGGAATGACAATATGTAAATGATCGAGTGTAGCTGTGTTCCAACAAAACTGTGTTTACAAAAATAGGCAGCTGGTGAGCTGCAGTTTTCCAACTCCTAACCTACAGCAAGAAACTCACTGAAGAGAGGACACTGGTCAGTCAGACAGATCATGGGTAGACAATTTTAAGACTACACAGATGATCCTGGTGAAGGAAACCCAAAGCTAAAAGCTGAAGAGAGATCTGTGACTGCTCTCATTGTAACTTCAGCATTGTTTATATTCCCAAGCTCTCGCTGTGCTTGACAGTCAGTGTTCTTTACTGAAGGGAACGGGATCCTGAAACAGGGCGCACATTCCCTGGCTTGCATATTAGTTGGCTAAAACAGTACTTCAAGAAAACCAGGGCAGAGGTTAATTTGAATGAAGTGAGATCCCCAGAGAAGTTGCCAAGAAAGTCACTTCTCACATTTCAGGAGCTCCCAGTGTTACCACTTTGCCATCCAGGATCTCTCTGTTAACCCATGCTTCTCTGCTCAGTATTATACCTCAATGAATCAGGTATCCCCACAGTCTCTGGAACCAGAAGATCTCCAATGGCAATATCTTCAGAACAGGTTTGTGTTTTAATGTCCAACAAAGCTATTTAGATCAAATTTCCCATGAAGTCCCATTTTCTCTACCCTTCTTTACTCTGAAAGCACAGGAACAGGCCTGGTCCCAGTGCTAGCACGTAAGAAAGGGAACAGCTGAAGGATGCAGTCCCATATCCACACACTTACCACCCCCCCACACACACACACCACCACCACACACCAGTAAACCAAACTTGGGAAAAGCTGCTAAGGAAAACCAGAGGAAACATATTAGCAGAAAAGATCCAACCTAAAGGATCCAAGGCTAAAAAAGCCTGAAAAGAGTAATACAAAAGCCCTCTGAAGAAGATGTGATTATCAGGGACACTAGAGGGAAACAGAAGTGCCCATAAGCCTTTTTACCTTTTTCTAAGGTGAAAACGTTGGACCAGAAGCCTGGAAGTACAGAACTGATTTACATATATTATCCATTACGTTTACCAAGATGTACTCCTTGGCCACAATTAATTAGCAAGGATCAGAAATATGGAAGAGCAACACCCTTCATATACAAGCAAAAATGGCAAAGCGGGCACCCCAAGAAGCAACAGTTTCTATTTAGCAAGACCAGGGGAGGCTGGGCTCCTACAGCAGGATGGAACAAAGGGGCTGGAGTAAATCAATCACAGAACTGGCTGCTTCTTGCAAAGGCTCCAGCTCCCCCTAATGGGCATCATCTGTAAGCACCATTTAAAGCAAGGTCGTCTTCCATAGTTGGATTTGCTATATTCATTTATTTGTGCCAAACAGTGAAAGAAATGAAAAAACAAAAATAAACAAACAAAACAATTAGCTGTCCAAGAAGCACTCGGTAGTGGTACTCAGAGGATGTATTTGCTTTCACTATTCACAAGTTTCATCACAGTCCTTGATAACACCTACTCGATGGGCTACATAGTCTAGCCGGCTCTCCAAGATCCACACTGAAATACTGGGATTGTTTCAGGGAAAAGCAGAACATGGTAAGGAGTTCAACAAAAGAACACTCTAAGAAACAGGTCATTCCCAGAACACACCTGGAGAGACCAAGGACAGCCAAAGGAGAATCAAAATGGTTATGTGCCAGATTCAAACCAAAAGGGAAAGGCCAGCCTCTACACAAGAAGAAATAACACCTGTCTGAAAACACTTCTGAAGGTGGGTCAGCAATGGCATCCTATTAAATCAAGGCCAGCTTCGCCAGTGGGCAGTGCTCAAAAACCTAAATTATTATGCCTGGCAATGCAAGAAGTAGAGTCAGTGGGACAGTGACTCAGGTCCAGCATAACCCTGAGGGAAGAGAGGGAGTTAGGAGTCTTGAGAACCATGTACAAGACTAGCAGCAAAAGCAAGTACTAGAGAAAGAAGCACTGAGCCTGGAAGGCAGAGCTGGAGAATGGCACAGGCAGAGAGCTGTTCTCATCCTCACACTTCAGTGGCTAGAGATGTAGTAACTGGATAAAATAGAAATACCACAAACTAATAAATGCTATGCCTGATCAAACCGTGCTATAACCCTGCTAAATACAGACTCTGTCCAAATCAAATGGATAATTCCCTGGAGGCAAATGGAAGTGGGCATGTACTCAGAGCAGACAGGGTCTCATTTCATTGTATAACTCTGCTCTCCAGAGAACAAACAACATACAGCAAGCATCCCAGGCTACACAGGAATGAGCGGCTTTAGTTTGCTCTAGAGGTCAGTGAAATAATGGAAAGACTCAAACTGGTTATAATGAAATTGGAAAACCCAAATTCGACGTCACTGTGATCCATACAGTTTCACCACACTGAGCAAGAGAGACGTGGCAAAGCCTGAGAAGAGGAGTAGAGCAAGTGGGATCCAGGTCTCTGAAATGCAAGTGGGCACGAGGCCTCACCCTGCCTCTTCCTAGGGCCCCTCAGCAGCATGCACAGCCCCCAGAAGGCTCAGGCCTGGGGCCACGTACAGGCCTCACTCCAGCGGTTCTTGCTCCTGCTGCCTCGGTCTCCTTGTTCACTGAGTCCCGGTCAGATGATCTCCCGCTGGCCATGCTGTCTAGTGAATGGCAGGAAACAGCGTTGTACAGCGCCTCGTAGGGACCCTCCTCTTCAGTATTTGGGTCAAAATCGATGATCAGTTCAGTTACTGCTTTTTCCATATCACCTGGAGAGGAGGGTGGGGACAAAAGAGTCAATAAGAGGGGGCACAATCAAGGGCTCCAACTGCTATGGTGACCAAAGCCTCTGTAGCTATCTGAACTTGACAAACACTAGCCCCAAGAAGGAAAATGATCACTTTGCTCCAGGGAAAGGAATAAATACAGAATTTCAGCTGCTCTTTATATCCTGTGATCTGAACAGATTTTTCTCTAATTCAATATGAAAGGGCTGGGGGTGCAGCTCAGCAGTAGAAAGTGCTTGCCTAGCATACACACAGCCCTGGAATCCATCCCCTGGCCACCAAAAAGGAAAAGATAAAGACAGAGAAAAGGAAAGCCCCTCGACATCCATAAGGCAACCTTTCCAAAACCTTTATGAAATCCCCAAATGTCTCAATACTACGAGGGCATAAACTTAACCAAAAAAAGAGAGCAAAGTATAACTGAAAACTGAAGCAAATCCTTTAAATTCTTTAGGAAGAGCCTCCACATGCTCAAGCAAACCAGAGGACAGCAGAGCCTTTCTGAAAGGGAGGTGGCGTGCAGCCGGGAGACGCCTGGCTAGACAAACACCAACCACAACACCCAGGACACTGGCAGGATCTGTGGCTGCAAAACTATTGACTGTGGAAACTGTCTCTGGGTGGACTGTAAATAGTCAAAACTATAAATGTAAACCCTTGAAAGCTAAGAGCTTACTGAGTGACTGATCTCATTACTAGCAGATTAGGAGGTCAAGGAAAACGAGTGCAAGGAGATGAAGACTGCTCAACTGAGACTGCTGGAGGGACACTGCTAACCCTCTGCCCGGAGCAGGAAAAGGATCCACTCTGCTCTCTCTGAAAGGACCCTCTCCCTTTTTCATTTTGAGTTCTGTTCCATTTCTCTAGCCTTCATTATTACCATATGTATTAGGGGAAAGGAGTCGGTCACTTTTGTTGTTGTTGTTTTTAAAATAAATTTTGTTTTTTAGTTGTAGATGGACATTCCTTGATTTTATTTATTTATTTTTATGTGCTACTAAGGATCGAACCCAGGGCCTCACACATGTTGGGCAAGCGTTCTACCACTGGGCCACCACTCAGCCTCAATCTTTATTTTGTCTTTGTCATTCATCACACAAAGGCCCCCAAAAGCTACTCAATAATCTGAAAAGAGATCCTGGCTAATGAAGAACAGGCCGGACTGCAGACCACATCTAATGACCAAATGACATATTACCAAAATCTGCCATGTACACATCTACCAACCAGAATACACTTATGAAAAAAACACTATGGGTCAACTATGCACAAAGCACAAAAGTATGTTAGAAAAAGGTTTCACTGAGATCTGAGTTCATCTTGGGATGATCCTGCCAACTACACATCCCAGAGCTGACTGCAAAAGCAGAGAAAAAAACACAGTAGGAAAGAAGCCCACGGCCAAAGACTTACACTGAAGTCCAACAAACCTTTTAGTTGGAAAAAACGAACTGAACATAAACTTATTAAGTACTCACAACCCCCTGAAATTATTTTTTGAATTGAGATTTTTCCATTCTGCCCAAGAACATTCAACTCTTTTGAGGCTGAGAGTCCCTTTCCTGTCAGAGAAGAGTCTCCTCACCCTGAGACTTTGGTGCTACGGAGTCCGCGATGGAGAGGAGAGCTGGCTGGGGCATGGAGATTTTCTCTATGTCTTTTGTACTTCTCTTTCCAGTCATGTGATCTACATGGAAAGATTTTTTAAAAGGAAGAAGAAACTGCACCAAATACAAGTGCCTCAGTCTGGTTAGTATTTCCCCAGTCACCCCAACAGTGACATGGACAATACCTTCAATAAGTGCTGCTATCTGCTGGCTCTTCTGAGAAGGCAGTTCCCGCACAGTGTCTAGGGCAGTCAGTCCATGGTTATCTTTTATGTTGACATCAATTCCTAGAAAGGCAGAGCAGGTGGACCAGGCAAGTGAGCATTTATTTTAAGCCAGCCTCAGAGAAGGTCAAATTCCAGGACACCTCCAGCTCCCAAGCAGCACACCCAATATTTTTCATCTGAAGCTATTTAGTAACTAAGGACTGGTCCACACACTTCTACCCAATCCACAGAGACACAAACACACTGGATTCAAATGCAGCCAGCAAAACCGCCCTCTGAGGAGCCTAGGGACAAACAATCCCATCCCTGGCATGCTGTGTAGACAAGAGCGCTGCCGACCTCTCACCTGCAGCCAGCAGGATTTGTACCACATCGGTCTTGCCAAACAAAGCAGCCTCATGCAAAGCACTGCCCATCTCCGTCTGGAAAGCAAATGAGAGCGCAGAGCAGGATGTCATCAGGGCAGTTTGGGGTGGCTTCACATGACAAATGGGACATAGATAAGAAGGGACAGGAAAATAAACTACACACAGCCCTCTGTCATTATCTTTCCAACTTTTTTGGTATGGATTCCAAAACCACCAGCTGGATCCATACATCAAGGCCACCGGGCCCACCAGAGGCCACGTGTGAGGAATCATCACTCCTGGAGCCACCATCAAACAACCCAACTCGTTCTTCCCAGCGGAAGGAATCATGAGAAGAGAAGTGAGAGGGAAGTAAAATGCTTTCACTTCAAACATGGATCAGTCAATGCCGAGCCTAAGGAACCATTCGTCCCAGCGGGGAAGGCTGACAGGGAGGGCGGTGCCCAGTCCCCTGGAGCCTCCACTGAGGAGACTCTGAAGGACAAGGGGGCAGTGGGAATACACGTGTAGGAAGATAATGAGACTTTTCAGTTTTGAGGGCACGCCCATTAACATGTCTTTTCAGGGTTCAATATGTCATCCCCTGAAAAGAAATAAAAAAATAACCATCTTACTCCAAGAGCTCATTTGTCTCTAAAGTTTCACACTGAAACGAGTCAACAAACGGAAGCATCCGAAACGTGATGGAAAACAGCTAAACGAGACCCCCCCCCCCACAGCAGCATGGTACTTATGCCTTTTCTGTCTAAGTCCCTGGTGCCTGGGTGGCGCACCGCCCTGCTACCTGGTAGTTGCTGTCCATGCCAGCATCCAGGAGGACCTGGACCACAGCCCTGTGGCCATTCCTTGCTGCAAGGTGCAGCGGGGTGTGCTTCTTAGTGTTGCAACTCAAGAGGTTGGGGTGCGCATTGAGGAGCATCTTCACCACCTCCAGCCGCCCGTAGAGCGCTGCCAGGTCCAAAGGGGTCTCGAATTTGTTGTTTCGCATGGTGGGGTCTGTGAGCTCCTCCAAGAGCACCTTCACCACCTCTGTGTGGCCATACTGTGCTGCACAGTGCAGGGCCGTCTCGTTGTCATTGTTCTGAGGGTTAACAAGCATATCGTGTCAGAAAGGGGGCAGGTTGGCATCTGGCTGGGGGAAACACACATAAAACCACTGAAATTTAAATGAGAAAAATAGCAGCAATATTTGGCAACTAATAAGGCATTCTCCACCATAAACAAGCCTGGCTGCTCCCATCAGCCACATCTTCCCCCAGTTCCTGCAAGAGGGGAACAGATATCCCCCAAACATTTGCAGACTCTTGTGTACTGTGAAGGGCGTGTCTCCAGGCAGGCAGGAGAGTGAATGAGGGAACGTGGCAGGCATTTGGTAGAAGTCCTGGCACGGACGCATGCTAATCATATCACTGCCATTGTTTCATTTTAACTTCAACTGGTTTTACAAGAATTTCTACTTGTTCAACCCGTGGTTCTGATTCTGTATTTGTCAACCATCCACAGTCTTTCACACAAGCTTTACAAAAAGAAACTGTCATCTGTGTAACTTCTTGCATGCAAATCAATCAGCCAAAAATGAAAATAATAGAGCAGAGCACAAACATCACTCTCAAGGTTATCAGCCGACAGCCATATCCAGGAGAGGGACGCCTTGGCTTGGTTGCAGAGGAACTCTGGACCCTGACACCGTACCGCTTCTATTCCCGGAACCTGCACCCATCAATGCATGCAGTATCTACTTCATTAAAACAGCCGCCAGCACAGGGAAGAATTTCTTATGTAAGAAAAATACAATCAGATGCTGGAATGCTTGGCATGAGAGGTGCAAAATATTCAAATGCAATGGTGCTGTCAATTCAAATTCACAGCCCATGGTCCTCTAATACAAGTTTGTTTCAAACTAAACATAAAGTCTGGGATTAAAATGGGAGAAGTTTGTGCTTTCTCAACCATCAGAAGCAAAATGTTAGTCATTCCAATTATCAGGTTTGGGGATTTTTTTTTGTTCGTTTGTTTGCAGTGTTAGAGAAGAACCCAGGGTATTGTGAATGCTAGGAAAACACTTTACCACTGAGCTACCTCCCCCAGCCCATCAACTACATTATTTTTTTAACAATATTAATTATGTGCAATTACAGTGGAAATAATTTCCTTGATTTCTCTTTTTTGAGAAGCATTAACGAAAATAATTCTCCCACAGTATTTTCAGATTCCCAAATTTATCCAGGAGGCCACTTTTGGAAAACAAATATTAAGAGGAGGCTTGGTCAACAAGTTAATATTGTGCACCTTTCAGTGGTTCAAACAGTAACAATTAAACATATCTACAACTGCTTTAATTCTAATGATGAAATTAAAAGTGACAGATTAGAAGTTCCCCAAACATGCATGCAATTCCATCTGCTTTTGATCTGGCATTAAACTGCATCATTTTTCACATCTACACAAAGTATACCAGAAAGATCCAGAACTGCTGGGAGCAAGGCCCCAGAAGGTCAGAATGGCAGCAAAGAAAATTATAAAAATGAAATAAGGACAGAAAAGGTCTCAGCAGGGACACATGCAAAGGTAAATGCACACAAATAAATAGAGAATGCGGAGGGAACAGCACTGATCTCAATCAGCTCAGGGAGAGCAGATGCGGAGAAAGTAGAGCTTCCCTGGCCGCAGAGAGCACACAGCCCATCAGCAATGTCTCCTATGACACAAAGGGCCCCACAAGCAAATTCCACACCAACCTAGGTGTCCGCAGGAAGGGGAGATAGTGGGCAGAAAGCAAATGCTGTGCCAAACAAATCAATGGGAACACCTGTTTGTAAAGCCAACTTCCTATGAGGCTATGGCATGAGTTAGTTCCCCGAGCAGACCCAGGGCTGTTGCTTTGCTTTCTCCTGATGAAAACACAGCTACATCATCAATTCACAGGAGCTTTCTGTCAAGTGATGCTGGAGCACAGCTGGCAACCCAAAGAAGTTTAAGAGGATTCTCTGGGTTTAAATCTCAAGATTAGCACAACAGCGAGGACCAAGAAGTCAGCTTACTCTCATTAAAACTCCAATTTAGAAAAGCTTCTGTTTACTCTGAAGCAAATGGTGGTGTCTCTTTTATTTTCAAGTTATCTCCCAACATCTAGAATAATTTGTCCTTGATTTTTGTAAAATGGATGACATTAGGGTCTGAAGAAATATAAAATCCAGATTATACAACAACAACAAAATATCAAGGCTGGGAGCAAAGCTTGTAGAGCCCATGCTCAGCATGCATGAGGGCTTGGGTTCAATCTCCACCCCCGCCCCTTCCAGAAACAAAGGAAGAAAAAAGAATGAAAAGTCTATTGTATTTATTTTTTTTTCTTTTTTGCCAAAATAATGGCAACTATCACAAAGCTAGTTGGCTACAGGCAAAATCTTGATGGATGCCTGGTGTGGTGGTGCACACCTATGATCCCAGCTACTAGGGAGTCTTGAGGCAGGAGGCAGCCTGGGCAATTTGGGGAGACCCTGTCTCAAAATAAAAAAGTTGGGGGGACTTGGGGGAAAAAAAGGTCTTTAGAAAAATCTTGATCACTACTGGCAAATTTCCTACCTCATGTTAAAAGGTCTAACCACATCTCTGCGGAAAGTTATGCTCATATTCACAGCGTAGGAGGCACCTCAGTATGTCTCAGCCTTGCCAGATCTGGCCTGGTAATTATAATTCTCTCGGGTTCACATCTGCAGTGACCACATCTCTACCACTGAACACACGCCATCACAACAGGCTATTACTTCGGTTTCCACTTTGAGCTTGACCACTCTTGGTTAAGAAATCACAAAGTGCTGACTCATGGACCCATAAGAAAGGGAGGGATTCCAAGGAGAGGAAAAGACTGCTAATCATCTGGACTCCTTCCCTTTCACACCTTCCAAATAACATTATGGGGTCTCACAATACCTTGAGAGTTCCCAACTGCTATGAGTGTGGACTCGGGGAGGGGAGTGGGGTGAAATACCCCAATGTTCTCTGAAGCCTTTTGCACAAACTCTCCATTCCTTCCCACCTTAAGACTCGCTTTCATTTCTCCTTGCAATGGTCAGTGACCCTAAGAGAAAAGGGGTCTCTGTGCATACTCCTTCCATCTTAAGACACCAATCATAATCTATTATATATATTCAAAAACAACAAGCAGCAGAAAGCCATACAGAAGAACTCCCATAGCCTTTCTCTCTTGGAACTATGTGAGGACTATCACCTCCCAGTGATTACAGCCCACTGTTGACAGAAACCTATGTTAAGGACACCTGGGCTACAGTTCTCTGTGGCAAGGACAATATAGGCTCTAGAAATATCGTAATTGGAAAAAACACTGGGTCTACTGAGATTGAGAAGACAGAGAAAACAGGATAACTGAGTCCATCATTCAAAGAAAAAGAAAAGTTGGACTTAGTCTTAATACTTAATTCTCTTTTTCTTAATCACTCTGTAAACTCTGGAAAGCAGAACTCTAACCAAAAGATGGAAGGTTTAGGAAAACAGATGCCAAACAAGAAACAAAAAAATCAGTGGAATCCACGGAGGCTGTTGGGCAGTAATGACTTGTGTTTATCACTAAGAAAAACAAACACATGAGTAAATAAAGAACAGATGGCTGACCTTTCAGAGGACAGAAGGAAGATGATCCTTGCTCAGGGTGGAAAGTTGGCCTAGATCAGAAGTTCTCAAACCAGCTTCCTTTTGGATTACCAGGGGCTTAAAAACAACTAATAGCTGGTCCAATACCAGACTTGCCAAGAAAGCACCTCAGAGAGGAAGGCCCAGGAAACCAATGTTAAAAAAACTTCCCAATCTGGCAGGCATCAGCCTAAGCACTCAGTCTTCATCATCAAGAATGAGACAAGGGCTGGGGTTGGGGCTCAGTGGCAGAGCGCTTGCCTAGCATGTGTGAGGCACTGGATTCGATCCTTAGCACCACCTATAAATGAACAAATAAAATAAAGGCATGCTGTCCATCTACAACTACAAAAAAATTTAAATACTAAAAAAAATAAAATAAAAGAATAAGAAAACAGAGATCATGTGCCTTGTGACAGGATGAACAAAAAAGGATATAATGTCACTTTTGTGGCATTTCTGCCAAAAATGTATGGCATGCAATCATGAGGAAATATCGAACAAACCTAAACTGAAGAACAGTTTACAAAACAACTGGCCTATGCTCTTACAAAATGTCAATGTTACGAAAGAAAAGAAAGGCTGAGGAACTGTTCCATATCACGTATGATCATGGATTGGATCCTGATCCAGAAAAAGAAAATCCTCTAAAGCATATTATCGGATGCCAGGCACAGTAACACAAACCTATAATCCCAGAGACTCAGGAGGCTGAGCCAGGAGGATCACAAGTTCAAACCTAGCCTCAGCAACTTAGCAAGACCCCATCTCAAAATGAAAAATAGAAAGGACTGGGGATGCAGCTTAGTGGTAAAGCACCCCTGGGTTCCGTACCACTGGGGATTAAGAGGAGGACATTACATTACTGAGACAACTGGCAAAATGTGAATGTGGATTGTAGATAATAATATTTTATCAATTTTGAATTTTCTGAATATGATAATTATATCATGGTTTTATAAATGAATGTCCTTGCTTTTTAGAGACTAAGGTTGAAGAACTAATCAAATAATTTAGGATCAAAGAGTCATAATGCTGATGACTTCATCTTGACTAGTTCATCTTGACTCAGGAGGCTGAGCCAGGAGGATCACAAGTTCAAGCATAGCCTCAGCAACTTATCAAGACTTGTGTGTGTGTGTACAGGAAAAGCAAATGGGACAAAATGTTAACAATCTGAGTAACAAGAATATATGCAGTTCACTGCATTATTATTATTAGAACCTCTTTTAAGTTGAAATTTTTTTTTTTCAAAAAAAGTTGTTTAAAAGCTTCGCAGGTGATTCTGATGCACTCAGACAAGCTCAGGAGAGTTTGGAGACACTATGAATTATCTTTAAGTGAATAGAAAAATAGGCATGTTGCTCACTTTATGATGGCCAGACTGAGTTAAAATTGTTTCAACAGTGGGGTTAGTGAACACTTTTGTTGTGTTGCAGTGGGGATTGAACCCAGGGGTGCTGTACCATTGAGTTACACCAGTAACTTTTTTTTTTTTTTAGTTGTTAACAGACTTTTATTTTATTTATTTGTATGTGGTGCTGAGAATCGAACCAAGTGCCTCACACATGCTAGGCAAGCATGCTACCACTGAAACACAACCCCAGCCCCTACACCAGTAACTTTTTTGAGATGCTGAGACTGGCATTGAATTTCTAATCCTCCTGCCTCAGCCTCGGGAGTCACTGGGATGACAGGTGAGTGCCACCTTGCTCAGTGGAAATGAACAATTTTCATAGTTCCACCTTAGCTGTGCATGATTCACATAAGCACTGGTTTATACTGACTTACTGAAAAAGGAGAGGCCCCAAATGTTAAAAAGGAACATCAAAGCTCTTGAAAACCACATCTGTTCCCAAAAAGGCACCTAAGACTTCTAATTTTTTACCAGTGCTAGATAGGATTTAGCATTCAAATATAACTTAGCAAATCAATTCCTCGACAGAAACCAAGTCAATAAAAGCCACTGAGGACAAAACCTAGTGAGGCTGGCAAGGCTCCACAGGACCTCCATCCTCCAACAACCCAGCACCTCCCTCCCCTAACCGCCAGGTGCATCATTTGGCCTGTCAGAGTAGATGGAAGGATTTCAAAAGGAGAAGTATGTTTTTATTACATTTACACTAGTTTTCCTTGAGATGTGCAAAACCAAAGGATAGGAAAACATACCTTTGAGAACCAAAGTTATAGCGTTTAATCAAAGCTTCATACGCTAAATAAACCACTGCAGGAAATAACAACCTCAAGGTCCCTTCCCACAAAACAGAATCCTGACTAATGGAGCAATGGAGCAACGTTTCACTAAACATCATCTACTAGCCACAAAGATTCCAAAATGCCCTTTCAGAAATACTACTATAATCAAACAGATTTTGAAAAATGAGGATTTTAAATATTATTAGTTGCTGATATTTTTACTTTAATGTGTTTTACTATTACTTATTAAAATTCTGAAACAACCCAGCAAGGTAAATAGGTGGTAATGACCCATTTTACAGAAAAGGAAACTGAGGCACAAATTAAGCAATTTGTTCAAGTTAACAAAACCAAAAAGTAGCCACCTAGAACCTATTCAGGTTTGACAGGAAAGCCTGGGACCTTTGAGTTCTCTGTTGCTGTGCACCATCCACAAAACAGCTGAAGTATAGAATCTGCCTATTTGATAACAAGAATTTACTAAAAAGACCAAATTTAAGAAAAAAAAAAGATTTTAAAGAATGGTCCAAAACAGGGCCGATGTGTTCTACCACCTCAAATCAAAAGGCTTTTCCACCATTAAGGCCCAACAGCTAATGAAAATCTCCTCCAAGGCCCTCCCAGGTCATTTTGTGGGGAGGTGCTATTTGGACTTTCTCAAAGAAAAGCATGAAATCTCTGCTTTGAGTCTGTAAACATCAGAAGTACCTTGTGTCTCTTCCCCAGGGCAGTTGTATTCAGAGCAAGTAAAAAGTAGCTAAGGCAGATAACGTAGCACCTCAACCAAACTCCAGATTGTTGTCAAAAAGTAAACAATTTCAATCAAACCTCGGGTGGAAAGGCAGCAGGGTAAGGCCCTGGGTGCTGAGGCTGGGCCAATCAAAACCAGGCCTATTAGGCCACTACCTGTGCCCACCACCAGGCAAGCCCCCTGCTTGGTCCTGCAACACAGTTTCCTGTTTCAGAGCCCTTCATGGGTCAAGAGTGACAAGCAGAAAGTGAAGTTAATGGCTAGAGAGATTGGCCTGAACATCTAAGAGAAACACAAACTCCAGGAAATGAGAAGAAAGTGGCAAGCAACAGCTTTTAAAAGAATAAGTTGGAGTCACCTGTTCTTTCCCCTACACTTCCACCCCAGCTACTGAAATCTGAAGGAAAATCAGATTCCACTTCAAAAAATACATAGAAAGCAGACCAAAATAAGAATCTTAATTCCAAGAAATACAATTTAATTGTTTATCCGTCTTTATTCGAAAGTAAGTTAATTTGACTACATTTTCTTTTTTGAATTTAAATGATTTAGAAATCACAATAGTAAATTAAGTATATAATGTGATCCCTTCTATCTCTTTATTCCTACCATTTCAGATGTTCTCCACCTTTCCAGAATTAGCATTAGTTTTAACAATAAAATCAAAACCTACTGCAGCCGCATTTTCCTATTCTCAGACAAGCCAAAAGCAGATGGGCTGAAGCAGATGACAGTCAGGGGGACAAGGAGGAGCCTGAGTGGACAAGAGTGGAAGCCAGAGAGCGCCATGGAGGGGGTACCGAGTGGAGAAATGATGCAGAGAAATCCTGGCAGCAAAGTACACACCTTGGCATTGATATAAGGGTCAAAGGGGCCGTACTTTTTGAGTTCTTTGATCTCAAGAGCATTCTACAAAAAGGAGAGGAAAAAGAAAGTGTAATGATAAAATGGATGAAATATATCAAAGCAATACAGAGTCCCACAGGGGCCCAACGCTGGAACTCGGGTCTGCCCTCTGGATGTGTCACAAGGAAGTTAAGGGGGAAGACAATCTCTAGGGCACCTCACTCATTACCCCCCTTTTATCCAAGCATCCAAATGGAACCACATTAATGGTTTTTAAATAAATCAATGTAGTTCTTGTAACTAACTAGATCCATTAGGTTCTTCAAGCTACTTGAAGACATCTTGCCCAGTCCCTGCCCCACCCACCTGCCTGCCAGATACTCAGAGCACTAGGCTGGTGTCCCACCCACCAAGGAGTACTCTAGGCAGGAGGTGGTCGTGAGCAGGACAAGCTAGCAGACTGAAGTGGCTCAAACTTCAAGCAGCTGTGCTCCAAGGCGAAAGTGGGCAAAGACAGGATTAGAAATGGGTGATGCCAATTGCTTAGATGAGAAGGACTTTAATGGGTGGCCAGATTTTTCAACATCGAAGAATATTAGTTATAAGCAAGCTTTATTTTTTTAAAAATATTTTTTAGTTGTCAATGGATCTTTATTTTATTTATTTATATGTGGTGCCGAGAATCAAACCCAGTGCCTCACACAAGCTAGGCACGTGCTCTACCACTGAGCCACAACCCCAGTCCCATAGGCAAGCTTCTTCACATATCTCCTCCAGTGAATAGAAATCATCCTTGCAGTCAGGAGGAGTAAAATCACACTTAGATTCTAAAGAGGCAATTCTAAAGAGAGGCTTCTCATTCCAAATGTTGTGGACAAACATGCTCACTGATGATCTTAAGTGTCTGCTGCTTACCTATCCAGAAAATACATCCCCAGGTGGGGGAGAAAAGCTGATTAACAGCTACATACACACAATCTCCAAACTGACATATTTAGGAACTCTCATTTTTTCAGGCTTCAGAGAGAAGCTGCCCTTCTCTGAATAAAGTCAAGATCTTAACAGTTCACTGAGAATCTTCATGGGTCCTGTTAAAAGATGGACTCGCCAGAGTGATTTCCTATTTTTTGAGGAAAAACCTTGTTTTAATCCTACAGGTAATTTAACAATTTTCTTTCAACAAAGTCATTAGGAAAACAGTCCTAAACTTATTGAAAGAGAGAAACATCACCCTCATTCAAGCAACAATAAAAGCACCTGCTATGGTGCAGAGCAGAACACAGGACAGCCATCTCCCCTCAGACGGGCGGGCATATACCTCTGCACCAAACCCCGGGAGCAGGGCTCACGAGAGGCTTGTCTCAAACCTATATAATTCAAGTATAATTTTCCCAAAGGAAAAAATATAAAAAGAAGTGTATTGTAGGAATGCTTAAATTCAGGGCCATTGTTATGCCTTTCTTATTTTCTAAGAACAGTCTCTGCCTTTCCAAAGTATGCTCACTCTTATTTAACATCAGAGGACATCATGGAAATGCTCTTCATTCTGCTGAATCATCTCTGACTTCTGTTCATTGTGAGTTCATGTTTCAGCACTAACACAAGTACTTCCACTCCTGCATGTTCTGATGTAGGTACAATGACAACATGGGTCACACAGTACTGGGGAACACTGGGAAAGCCACATTGCCATGTCAAAAGCATTAAGCACAATTTACAATTAATTAGGCCTATCAGTTTGAAACTGACTCCATGCAATTTTGAAGGATTCCATTATTTCATCTTTGTAATATTCCAAATCTGTATGAGCCAAATGTATATGAAATGCATCCTCATAGTACAGCACTTCCCTGACCCACCAGGACATGGAGAAATGGCAAGGGGGAAGTCGTGTTTAGGGTTTGGAAGAGCTGGCTCCCTGAGATCTGCACTCTGGAGCTGAGGTGGGGTGGCCGCATTCTGGTCATAGCTGAATGGAGGGAGGAAAGCCTCCTTCTTCCGACCTGTTCATTGACTCTGGTGTGTGAAGGCCCTTGATGGATGAGCAACCGCACTATCTGGGCATCTCCTTTCCAGGCTGCCAAGTGCAGAGGGTAACAGCCTTTAGAGTCAGCCACATTGGTCAGTGCATCGTTCCTCAGAAGAACTTCCACCACATCCCTAGAAGGCAAAAATCAATCATGAGCTGCAGAACCCAGCGTCTTTCCTACTACCAGATCTTTACCTCTGTACAGTACAAAGCCCTTTCATAGGTCTTGGCCCCTCTCACTTCCTGAGCTCATTTCCAGGCTTTTCCTCTTATTCCATGAACCCCTGGTACACCCGCTAAGTGGCTGACCCATCTGAAGCTATGCTGTGCTAATTCACAGCCTCCCCATTAGGGATCTCTTGATAATCCACCTATTTTCCTCTACTTTGAAAATATCTGGATTCCTTGTCTAAACCTTGCAATATTTCCTGGTTTGTGATGTTTAAATAGCATTCAAGGATAGAATTTACAGAAAAATAGTCAAGCAAGACAAATACCATTATTCACTGCATTACTCAGATTATTTAGTGATATGGGAGCTGAAAATGGGCAGGCAAACCAGAATTAAAGCTGATTCCAACATAGCCAGACACACATGGTATCATTTGAAAGCTCCAGAAAGAAGGCCTTGGCTTTCTTCTTGGTGACACCAGTAATTAAACAGACCCAAGTGTATAATTAGCCCCATGCACACGAGGTCAAAGAAAATCCTCCCTGTAAATAAAAACAACATCTGGAGATGAACTTGGCTAACAGGCTATAGTTCTCAGAATTCAAGATTCATTTTCATTTAGGTTATCCCATTATTTACATATTTACAGGGAAGAGATCTCTACAGATTTTTTTTTTTTTTTTTTAGTTTTAAGAGGATTACAGAAAAGACTGTGATCACATTTGATATATTTTAGACAAGTTTAAAGCTAAAGAAAACAACCATGATCTCTTTTTGGCACACTGGAGTCAATCAGGCTGGGCCAACTATTGGACAAATGACATGGAATACTGTAAGGTGGTGAGGGCCTGCTCCTTGCTCAGAAAAATCTAAAATAAGGGGCAGTGGTGTGGTTTAGTAGTAAAGTGCCTCATCTATGAGGTCCTGGGTTCACTATCCAGGAGTAAAGAAACAAAATGTGAAAAGGGAGCAAAGAAAAGTTTACAGTAGTTACAATATTCCCTCCTCATAAAAACTCAACTACTGCTTCAAACTTCTTTAACACCCTCTATCCTGTTAACACCTTCTATTCTTATTTTCATTCTAGGGCATTCGGGCAAACCCATTCACTGTGCCCTACAACCAGGTCTGCCCCTTTGCTGGGGTACTACACCTTCCTCACCTGAAGCACAGAACCGAACCCTTTAAGCCTCTGCCTTCTCTCTCAGAGTTCCTCCCAAAGCATGCCTTCTCCAGAAGTCTTTTCATGCAAATGCCACCCAATTCCTAACACCCTCTCCTGTAGTTTATCTATATAATTTTTTGCCCTTAAAAATGGTTTTGGGGGGCAGAGACTGTGGCTCACTTACCTGGCATGTGTGAGGCACTGGGTTCAACTCTTAGCACCGCGTGTAAATAAATAAAATAAAGGTCTATCAACAACTAAAAAAAACATTTAAAAAAAATATGGGGCTGGGGTTGTGGCTCAGCAGTTGAGTGCCTGCCTCACATCTGTGAGGCACTGGGTTCAATCCACAGCACCTCATAAAAATAAATAAACAAAATAAAGGCATTTGTTCATCTACAACTAAAAAAAAAAAAAATGGTTCTTGGGGGCTGAGGTTGCGGCTCAGTGGTAAAGTGCTTGCCTACACATGTGAGACACTGGGTTTGATCCTCAGTACCGCATAAAAATAAATAAATAAAGGTATTGTGTCCATCTACAACTATAATAATAATAATAAGGTTCTTGGGGTCTGGGGGTTTTAGCTCAGTGGTAGAGTGCTTGCCTAGCATGTGTGAGGCACTGGGTTCCACCCTCAGCAAAAAGAAGGAAAGAAGGGAGGGAGGGAGGAAAAGAAAAGAAAAGACAAAGAAAAGAAAGAAAGAAAGAAAGAGAGGGAAGGAGGGAGGGAGAGAGAAAGAGAGAGAGAGAGAAAGAAAGAAAGAAAGAAAGAAAGAAAGAAAGAAAGAAAGAAAGAAAGAGAAAGAAAGAAAGAAAGGTGTTGTGTCTATTTAATACTAAAAATATTTTTTTAAAATGGTTCTTGGGGCTGGGATTGTGGCTCAGCAGTAGAGCGCTCATCTAGCGCATGCAAAGCCCTGGGTTCGATCCTCTGCACCACATAAAAATAAATAAAATAAAGGTTAAAAAGTTGTTCTTGGGTTGGTGGTATGACTCAGTGATCGAGTACTTGCCTAGCATGTGTGAGATTCTAGTTTCAATTTCTAGTACTGTCAAAAAAAAAAAAAAAAGGCAGCTCTTGTTGTCTATGAAGCTGATTTATGAGGGAAAGAATGACAGAGTAAATGACAAAGTACTCACAACAGAAGACAAGTTTCCCATGACCACTCAATCTATTTTCAGTTTATCAAGGGGTCACCTAAGAGATTCCAGCCCCTTTATGATTTGGCTGCCCCAAATTTGATCTTCATATTTACATCATTGTGAGACACTAGAACATTCCAGAGGGGAAAAGGACAAGCACAGGAAAAAGTAAAATTGAATCCTTGGCTAAAGCTTTCAGGGGTGGGGGGCAGGAGAGGATGTTTAAATTACACACTAAAGAAAAACTCAGGGATTCTGCATGAGCTGACTAGAGTTTCTTTTTCTCTGTTCCTCGGTGCCTTACTTAGCCAAGCTTGACAGGAAGTGAAAAAGACACCCTGAAGGCCTGGGTTCTGAGGGCAGGGCAGGAGCGGAGCCGTTCGTACTCACTTATGGCCGTTCAGAGCGGCGTGGTGCAGCGGTGTGTAGCCGGTGCTGTCAACACAGTTCACATTTGGGCCTCTCCACATGCTGTCAGGGAAGAAAGAAACTGATTTCAAACACTGAAGTCATAAACCAGCTAGCTACTTGGATTAGACTTCTATGTGGCGTTTAGCCAAATTAGAGACTTCCAAATGACTCCTAATGAAGGTCAGCCGTGCACACTACAGAAGTGCCCAGCAGGGAGGGTGCACAGTGGTCTGCCAAGCAAGGAAGCAAGAGTCAAGACCACAGTGTCTCCACTGAGCTCTGGTTTCTGTATCCTCTGCTCATCTGTAACTTACCATCCAGTTGGGGACTCATTCCTCTGTACTCCCTGTTCACTGAAAGGTCATCGAAAACACCATGAAACCAACCCCTTAGTCAGGTGCAGGTACACAGCACCCACCTGTGCTGGCAACTGAAGGCTTCAGAGAAACCTCAACACAGACCATGCAATCAAGACGGTTCAATAGGCAAGGGCCACTATTAAAAAGCACCAGGACACACATGCTAAGATACATGTAATAACCGTGTCTTTTCTCTGTAAATAAAGCCAGCCCTCTGTAAAAATGGGTTCTGCATTTAGATTCAACTAAATTCAGAAAACAAAATATGTCTGTACATGCACAGATCTTTTTTCTGGTCATTATTCCCTAAACAATACAACATAACAACTATTTACATAGTATTTACATTGTATTAGATATTGTAAGTAATTACTTATAATCTTATAGAGATGATGTAAAGCACATGGGAGGGTGTGCAGAGGGTATATGCAAATACTATGCTACTTTATATATGGAACTTGAACATCTGCAAATTTTGGTATCCTCAGGGGATCCTGGAACCAATCCCTCATGGATACTAAAGAATGACCATATCTTATTTGTCAGTGTGTGTATATGTATGTGTGTGTGTGTCTGTCTATAAATTAGTAGAATCTACAATTTTAGAGTCTTGTTTGCATCAGAAATACTGTAACAATGGAAGCATAAATGTCACCTTATTTAATCCTCAAAGCCTTAATTCTTATTTCTGTTCCACACCTCACTGTATTGGTCAGAATTTCTAAAATATTAAGCAGCAGAGGAAGTCCTTGTTTGTTTCTGCCTCTAGTAAGAATGTGTAAATAAAACATTCTCCCTACTTTTTTTTGTTTTAAATTTTATTTATTTATTTCTTGTGGTACTGAGAATCAAACCCAGGACCTAATGCATGCCAGAGGTAAGCACTCTACCACTAAGCTACATCCCCAGCCCTTCCTTTAAAAAAAAAAAAAAGTTATTACAGATAGTTGTTCAACTTAAATGCATTTTCTGCATCTATGGAGGTAAACACAATTTTTCAGTTAATGTTCACAGGTTTCTTAACATTGAATCATTCTTTCATTCTTAGAATACATCTTCTCTGGCTATTATTCATTGTACCTTGCTGGGGAAATGAATTTGATAGTATCTACTTGAGAATATATTATTTTGGATTTTCATATCTATATTCAAAAGTGACGCAGGTCTCAAGTTTTTGGTTTTTTGCTACTATTATTGGATAGTATCAATGTTAGTTTTGGTTTGGGTTATAGATCAGATAGGCAGCAGTCTATTCATCTTTATATTCAGAAATCACTGACCAAGAGTGATAAAATTATAGAGTCACCAGTAAAACCATCCGGGCCACAGCGTTTAAGCTCAAGTGCTGGAACCAACATTATTTCAACAATAACATTCTGGAAATAGGTATCAGTACAGAAATTATTATACCTACAGTGAAGACAGAGTAAAAATATCACATTCCAGTTATACTGCTATGTAATAAGACAGAAAAGAAAAAAATAAGTGTTAAAGAGGAAAAAATTCAAAAGTGTAAATATTAGATAGTTACAACTGAAAATCCATGAGAGAAATTTACCAGGATAGCAGACTGAGTGCAGAAGTTTATTCCATCCCCTGCCTAAAGACTTATGAAGTGATAAAAAAGATATCCTACCCTGCACTGATAGGACAGACACACAGATTGACTGGGCCCAGGAAAATAATAAAAGATGTCATTGAGTAACTGGCAATGATAGACAGAAAGGAAACAAGCTCAAAGACACAATCTAGAAGAACGCAATAGTAATAACCACACAGCACTTTTTACCTATCAGACTAAAAACATAAACTAAAAATAATGACATTATCAAGTATTTGGAAACAAGCACTCCTGAACACCATTGGTATGAGTTTAAATTGGTGAAATCCTTTGGGAAGACAATTTGGCAGCATCCATCAAAAAATAGCATCCATCAAAATGCCATAAAAATAGCATTCACTTTTGAGCCAGTGATTCCACTTCCGGGCAATTGTCCAACAGAAACATTGTACATGTTCACAAAGACATGCTTGCATAAGATTACTTCATTATAAGAGTAAAAAAACTAAAGCCTTAACATCTATCCATAGATAAGCAGTTAAATGTTAGGTACACCCACAAAGTGAAATACTACATAACCATTCACAACAAAAGAAAGAAAAGCATTGGATCTACATGTCCTGACAGGGAAAGGTTTCCCAAGACACACTACGATATGGGTAAGTGAAAAGCAGAAGTTACTGGTAAAACACAAAGAATACGAGCTCCTTTTAATAAAAATGCATGTAAACACACACCTCAGTAAATGGATGGCACGTGGAGAGTACTCACCAAGTGCTGGCAATGGCTACCTCTGGGGAAGGAAATTTGTGTGTTAGGGGATACTGCAGAATGGTGGAGAGAGAGCTTAATGTGTCTTGTTTGTTTATTTTGGTGTTGGGGATTGAACCCAGGGACACTTTACCACTGAGCTACATCCCCAACCATTTTCATTTTTTACTTTTTTGAAACAGGGTCTCATTAAATTGCTCAGGCCAGCCTTGTGATCCTCCTGCCTCAGCCTCCCAAATTATTAGGATTATAGGCATGCACTGCTGTGCCAGCTGACCTGGATATTTAGGGCTGTATTCTACCATACTGTTCAGAACACTTTTACATTGAGACTATATTCGTGTAGTACTTTAATAATAATAATTTTGGGGGTGTGGGGTATTTAGAGATTGAATTCAGGGTACTCAACCACTGAGCTATGTCCCTAGTCCTATTTTGTGTTTATTTAGAGACATGGTCTCACTGAGTTGTTTTTCACATTTGCTGAGACTGGCCTTGACTCACAATCCTCCTGCTTCATTCTCTCAAGCCTCTGGGATTATAGGCCCAGCTAATAATAATAATTTTAATACCGTCTCTAAGAGATTCATCTCATAGGCAAAGACATCCACAGACGAAAAGTAAAAGAATGGGAAAAAACATAACATTCTCATGGATCTTATAAACAAGCAGGGCTTTCTATCCTCATATCAATAAAGTGGACTTTGAGCTAAAGTTATTCAGAAGGGACAAAGAAGGACGTTTCATGCTGCTTAAGGGAGTTATATATCAACAAGACAAAACAATCATAAATATTTATGCCCCAAACAATGGACTGATTACATCTATCAAACAAACCCTTCTTAACTTCAAGAATCAAATAGACCACAATATAATAATAATACTGGGTGACTTTAACACACCTCTCTCACCACTGGATAGATCCTCCACACAAAAAACTACATAAAGAAGCTACAGAACTAAAAAATAGAATTAATAATTTAGACTCAATGGACATACATAGAATATTCCATCCATCAATGACTGAATACACTTTATTCTCAGCAGCACATGGATCCTTCTCTAAAGTAGACCATATCTTAGGCCACAAAGCAACTCTTAGCAAATGCAAAAATAATAGAGATAATACCTTGCATTCTGTCAGATCATAATGGAATGAAATTAAAAATCAACAGTAAAATAAAAAACAGAAGCTACTCTAACACCTGGAGACTAAATAATATGCTACTAAATGACCAATGGACAGCAGAAGAAAACAGGGATTATATGAAAAATACTTAGAGGTAAATGAGAATACCTGTAGAACATATCAAAATCTCTGAGACACTATGAAGGCAGTGCTAAGAGGAAGGTTCATTGCATTAAGTTCATTTTTTAAAAGACTAGAAAGTCAACAAATAAATAACCTAACATTACATCTTAAAGCCTTAGAAAAAGAAGAACAAATCAACACCAAAAGCAGAAGACAGGAAATAATTAAAATCAGAGCTGAAATCAATGAAATTGAAACAAAAGAAACAATAAAAAAAAATCAACAAAAGAGTTGGTTCTTTAAAAAAATAAATAAAATTGATAAATGCTTAGTCAAGCTAATAAAAAGAAAGAGAAAGAAAACTCAAATTACTAAAATTTTCAATGAAAAAGGAAATATCACAACAGACATTACTGAAATACTGTCGATAATCAGAAATCATTTTGAAGATTTATACTCTGATAAAATAGAAAATCCCGAAGACATCAATAAATTTCTAGAGATAGATGACCTAGCTAAATTGAATAAGGAAAACATAGAAAATTTAAACAGATCAATTCCAAGCACTGAAATTGAAGATGTCATCAAAAGACTACCAAGAAAAGCCCAGGACCGGACAGTTTCTCAGCCAAGTTCTACCAGACTTTCAAAGAACTAAGGCCAATCCTCATCAAATCATTCCATGAAATAGAAAAGGAGGGAACCCTTCCAAACTCATTCTATGAAGCTAGTATCACCCTGATACCAAAACCAGACAAAGACACATCAAGGAAAAAAAATTTCAGACCAAAAATTTCAGAACAAAACAGACCTGATGGAAGTAGATACAAAAATTCTTAATAAAATATTGGTAAATTGCATAAAAAACATATTAAAAAGATAGTGCACCATGATAAAGTGGGGTTCATCCAAGGGTAGCAAGGTTAGTTTGACATACAGAAATCAATAAATGTAATTCATCACATCAATAAAGACAAGAATCGTATGATTATCTCAATAGATGCAGAAAAAGCATTTGACAAATTATAGCATACATTCCTGTTTAAAACACTAGAAAAATTAGGGATTATAGGAACATACCTCAATTGTAAGCGCTATATATGCTAAACCCAAGGCC